TTAAATATGATTTAAAAGGATTAAAACAAAGTAAAAACAAAGATTTAAATAAGCTAAAATAGATTAAGATGGATTAAACAGTAGAAGAGTTGCAGCTCAGTGTAAGATATGAAGATATGAGTTGGTGTAGACCTCAAGTGTTGTGGGAGTTTGTTCCAGATATTTGGATCATAAAAACTGCTCAGTTATGACCTGAGACCTGAACCCAGACCATCTGAGAGGTGGGGACACTTCAGCAGCAGATCAGAAATAAACCATTCAGTAGTATTTTAAAGTCCATTCTTGGACACACAGGAAGCCAGTGTGAAGATCTGGCTGCTGGACTGATGTGGTCTCTCCTGGACTTTAATGAGGACTGTAGCAGCAGTGTGCAGCTCTCTGATCTGCGACCTGTAAAGAGAGCTTTACAGTAGTCTAACCTGCTGTTAACTCCTCCTGCTGAGACACAGTCTAATTCCTGATATATTCTGAAGGTGTCTGCAGACTGATTCAGTAGTTGTCTTAATGTGGATGTTATTTAGGAACATGTTGCTTTTGTCTCATGACCATCTGAAGAAGAAATGACTTGTATGCTACCATGTGAACATCACATAGCTGTAGATCTGTATAGAGCTGTAGTTCTCAACCTTTTTGGTGTCAAGAACCCACAAATTGATCCACATCAGGCAGCTGACTTGTATTTGATAAGATGCAGCCTTGTGGATCCCTGATGGATTTAGTTATTCTATAACTGTCTGCATTGTAGATTGGTAGATCTTTATACGTTCTCTCATTGGGCTAACTTTGTTCTTTTTGGCTAGACCTAGGTCTACAGTGGCTTCTCCTTTGGCTTCATCTGTCAGTCAGACAGATGAAGGATTTTGAGGGTTTTGTCATTTCATCCTGTTGTGTTACCAAACATTACTGATATAGGTTTAGCTGCTGTTTAATTGGTTTAATGCTGATTAATCCATTAAGGCAAATTATGCTAATCATGTCAGAGAGGAAGGGGCGTGGACATAACCCATCAACTGCGAAACAAAGAGTGCTTCTTGTGATTTATATCTTGAAATGTGTATGATTTAGGAGTGTAGTCGCAGATTGCAACTCGTTCGCTTCACCCTCCCCTTTCAAGCACGAATGAGTAACTACAATGGCAGCGTAGAACTTGAACAGTCAGTATTTGTCCCTTCATGGATGTCTGTAGATAAAAATGCCTCATTCTAAGGTCACAAAAACATAACGACTGTAATTTTCAGGTGATTATACACTAATGAAACTCTTATGAGTAGTTTTATTCCATTTCTGCCGATAGATCCTCCTAGATGTTACACACTGGACCTTTTTAATGTTGCCATTTCCTGTAATTTTATACTTTCTGGTTGGCGTGCCATTTAAAACACTTAAAGAAACGGCCGGACGCGAGCATTAATCCACACTGTTGTTTGCTCTCACTTAATCTTGTTCTGCCAGTTGTTCCATGCATGAGTAACTGCAGGCGATCAGATGTCAGCATCCTCACACCCATAAAACCCTCTCTGAGCGGTGGTTTCCTGTAGTTGGTTCGAGTTGCATTCTCACTCCTAACGAGCAGCTCTCTCGTTAAAGCGCTGAGACTCAAAGTGTAAATAACATGCAACATAATCTCAGTAGTGTCGAATAGCTCACACCAAACACAAAACCATCTTTCTTGTCCTTCTCACAGACCTTCACCATGACCCATTTAACCTCTCCCACCTCCTAATTAGTCCTGATCACCGTGTTTATGCTGTTATGTTCTTTTTTTTGTGTTTTTATATTAGTGGTGTTCACTGGGAGTAAAAAGGCGCCCAGCTCCTGTGATGTGGATCCTGCTGAAGTTAAAGTCTGCAAGGATCCACTGAGGGGAAAGGGAAGGACGGCGCTGGGTTTTTGCTGTGGATCTTTCATGCTTTGGATATATCTTCATTGTAAAATCGTTGGGTTTCTATCAAAATCTGCGGATAGAAGAACAGGAGGAAGTGCGGAATGGTGGGAAGGAGAGTCTTAGCCAAAAATGAGAATCAATGTGTAAAGGAACGAAAGGAAGGAGAGAAAGATGTGGGTAGAATAAAAGAGAGGCAAAATAGAGGAAACGTGAAATAAAAGAAAGGTGGGAGGAAGGGGAGGAGGAGGAGGAAATGAAAGGCAAATTGGAGGGAGAGATGGCAGGAGGAGGAAGGCCCCAGCAGGGACTCCAACAGGCTGTTGCTGAGGAGAACAGAAATATCTCTCCGTCACGCTGTGGACCCTCCACCTGCTTCTCCTCCAGCTTTATAATTAGCCCAGAGTGAAGGGAAAGTGATAACACGCAGGTTTCCTCTTTTAGTCGCTCCGGAAAAACTGAACATGATGGGTTTCTGCTGCAGTAAATGTACATTTGTGTCATTCCAGAGCTGAAGAATCTGCCGCATTTAGACAGAAACAAATCTGTTTTAGATATTTTATTAGCTTCTCTAGTTTAAGGCCAGGTAGGAAACAGGAAAATGAAATCTTCCACAGCGTGCACTTCTGTCCTCCCCGGTGTCAGAGTTTGTTTGTGTTTTGAGATCTGTACAGTTCATCACTAAGCAAAATAAATAAAGCTCAGATTGAAGCTGAGAAGTTGTTCGTCAGGATGTTTTCCGAGGGGAAATTTTCCTCCTTTCTTTCTGTCCTACAGCAGCACAGGTTTAGAAACAAATCTCTCGACTCATCAAGTGCAGTAAGTGTAGAAGGAAGTGATATGGTGTGTGTGTGTGTGTGTGTGTGTGTGTGTGTGTGTGTGTGTGTGTGTGTGTGTGTGTGTGTGTGTATATATTTGGGGATATGGTGTCTGATTGGCTGTTACAGTTGTATAAGAACTGGTCGACAGTTTATCCTCCATTCAGAATACATTTTGGGTGACTTTTTAGAAACCTTAAAGGAAAACTACGGTTGGTTACAACTTGGGTTTTATTATCATTAATAACCGCATTATACTCATGGAGATCTGGTAACACAGCGGCTTAGATACAGATCCGTTCAGCGTGGAAAGAAATACGAGCAGTCAGACGATCCGATGTAAACAAACCTCCAGGTTAGCTGAATCTATTTTGAAGCTAAAACAAAAAGGCTTTACAAAGGCTTACAGACCCACTTACTGCTTCAGCTTTGACCTTCTGTACTTGTAGCTGTGTGCATTGTGTGTAATGTAGGACTAATGGCGACGTTACAGGTGCACTCACTTTCTGTCTGACATCCACTTAAAGTGGTTCAGGTAATCTGTTGGTTTAACAACCTGTATGAGTGTGTGATCGCCCGTGGTTTTTTCGTTCTGTTGGAACTGTTTTGACCAACATGCTATACAATTTTAGCCATTACTTTGGTTAGTGTGGGCGGCTGTGGCTGAGAGGTGGACTGGTGTCTCAGTGTGTGAATGAGCATTAGTTTGCATTAGGACTGTCAACAATTGTCAACAAATTCGATTATATAATCAAATGCAAGAAGTTACGGATAATCAATTATACACAATGTCACTTCCATTGAGTGAAAATGAAATGTAGGCTTCACTACAACCGCGTATTGTAGCTAGCAAAACTGAACAGCAAGTAACTAAGTTTGTAGTTGGTGTAAAGCGCTTTGAGTATATAGACTATATAACTATATTTGATCACATTCAGTCACTTAGCGTAGTTAATTAGTTGCGTGAACCGCTAACGGTGGAGGTTTGGAACCTTCTTTAACCTTATTAATTTGCTACCGCTCTGATTCGAGCCTCTGATTGGCTTCGTCTCCATAGCAACAGTGACTGAGGCTCATGGGTACCGTAGTATTTAGTGTCATCCACCACAAACAGACAACAGCAGGATCAACAAAGTTGAGATAATTCAAACTGATGACGTAAACCCGCTTTATCCATGGGACTGTGGTTTCTATGGTGATGAACGCTGATGATGTCATAGTGGGGAAAAACGATTCCGGAACCAGCAGCTCCTGTAGGTTTCCATAGCAACAGAACTCGCAATAGTTGCAAACTCTTAACGGCTAACTCTCATTGGTTAAACAGAGCTAACCCCACGCAAACTACTATATAATATATATTTCTATTTCTAAAAAATATGACAGCTTCAACGGAGGCTTCAATTTGTGGCCATTTCTTTTGTTTTTTAATGACTTTTTAGTGTTTATTTGGTGGAACTGTGGGCCTCTTTTGTGAGAGAATGTACGAAAATAAGAGATGGAACTTCAATACTCGCTAAGTTTAATGGTTGTTTCAGCTGCTGGGAAATGGGTCCCCCCCCTTTTATTATACCAGTTGTTTATTTTCTCTCAGTGCTGCCAACATTTCCTCCCGTTTCAGGCGGCTTAGTTTTCTGATCAAAAACGGCTCAGTTTTTGTCTCCCAGCATGCAACTGGAAAGACCATCCTAGCTACAGACTCTGCTTGAATCAGCAGCGTTTTGCCCCACGGGGGGGTAGAAAGTGGTCACATTCACGCACGAACATCAGACAGCTCAACTAAGACAATGTGAACGGGTTGTAAAGCAAAGGGCGCTCTAATTACTTTTTTGCCCCCGCGCTCACCCACACCCCTTCATTTTTAATTTCACAGGCTTTTTATGAACTTTGAAGGGTTATTTTGCCCCGAGGCTTTTGTTCATTTCGGACCCTTTTTGTACGATACAAAGTACACTGTTGACGGTGCAGATTTTAAAAAGTAGAAACGAGAGAATAATGTGTAAATGTAAGATAATAAAGGTTGTGGTCACGCTCTGATGCTGTATTTAGTCATATGTGGGAATGCTGCAGCAGATGAAATATCTCCTCACTACCCTGCGTGCCCTCCACCTGCCCTACAGCTCCCACCCCTCACTACCATACTACACTATGTTTATTATTTTTATCATTTTAAAGGAAGTGGGGCATATGAGATCAGATCTAGTTTAGATTTCCCCGGGGACTCTCGTGTGTCACGCAGAGGAAAAAATATTAAAAATACCGAACGACGCGCTCACGACCGACAATATTTCCTGTTTGCTCAGATTGCCAACCCCCTGCCGGTGCCAGTGGGAGCCCCCGCCAGCGGAGTGGTGGTGGAGAGCGGGCCGGTCGTCTACGATGATGCAGCTGCTGACGAGGAGGATGAGGAGGAAGAGGAGCCTTGTGTCAGTGCCATGGACCTGTTGGGCGGCAACGGTCAGTTCACACACACACACACACACAGTTTGTTTAACCTATAGTATGAGAGCGGCTGTCGGTGCTACTGGCTGTTTTCAGATCAGCCTTTCATCCATCCCTCATTTGTTAAAATTCATATTACGTATTACAGCCTATTTGACATCTAAAAGTAACACTGAACTGCTACCAATGTTCTGAACTGATGGTACAGTTTTATATCTCTCACTTTCACGTCAGATACAGAAATCTCCGATGCTTTAACCCACACTGAGCTATATTCAACATAAGTGATATGTCAATACTGCAAAAAGCCCGTTAAGTCATCTTTACTCTCTATGATTGAGTCTTAAAAGTGAGTTAAAAAATGATTATTTCAACCCGTTTCCACAATAAATCAACTTCACTAATGAATTTTCTAGAAGTCACTGTCAGTCTGGGCGGTAAATTGTGATTTTATTAATTAAAATCTGCTTTAATTAAGTATTTGTTCTGGTTGATTGATTAAATGTTCCTAATGTAAAGTTTTAACATGACTTATTTGGTGCTAACCACAAAACAATACAAATGAAACATAAGTGTAAAACTAAAGTAAACTCATCATATTATCATAAATCATAAATTTAAACTTTAGAACCTAATTGGCAAAAAACTGCAAATCTTCCCATTGGAGGAGCAGATACCAACAAATATTTGACTGCTTGGTTTGTAAATTACTTTCTACAATGTAGTATAATATTCGTAAGCATTTTTTCATTAGTGTGTAATCACCTAAAAATTACATTTTTATCTTCAGAGACTTGGTCCTCTTCTAAGGAGTCCACCATGTTTCTACAGTAGCTCAGAACAGACAAACCAAACACTGGCTGTAGATTCAGACCTTTTGTGAGTTCCACAGCAGTATATTGTTGACTGTTGACTGCTAGCTGCCACTAAATCTTCTTTAATTAATTAGCTATTAAACTAGTTTTTGATTAGTTATTTAGTTGATTGACAATCAGAAAACTGCTGCACACCAGTCAAGACCAAGGAATCTTAACTCTTTGTATTGGCTGAAACAATCCCACCACACTGACACTCTATCATTTAAAGAAGTCTTTCAGGCTCAGTGATGATTTGACCGCATCAGACAGCTTTGTCACTTCTCAGTTGGACGCCGAGTGTGTGCACTGTGAAATAGCTAGAATCACTTTTTTTAATGAACCTGCCTCTCTGGGTCACGGCTCTGACTCCTGGTATGTTTTAATGAGCCCTCGGTAAGATTAAATTTCTTCCCTTTACGTCTCTGGCTGTTAAACTTTAAGGTCCCTGACTCTGCCTCAGTTAAAACTCCTGAGCTACTTAATTGATTCCTGTAGGGAAACTCTCTGTTTGTACTCCTGCCCCCTCCGCAGTGAGGTCAAAGGTCAGGGTCAGCCTCAGAGCAGCTCCGGAGGACAGTTGAGCTGGACGGACTCCTGCCGACACTGGAGACTGATCTAGAGTCAGGCAGAGAGTGAAGTGACACTTTTTCACAGTTTATTAGTCTGACCTGTTGTTGCTCTTAGTGAAGTCACACAACACAGAGCGTCTCTGTGGAAACCCACCATGTTTACCTAAGTGCATGCAGTTCCACTCACTCACACGTCCATTAAAATCTCTTTTTGGCTCTTAAAGCTTCTCTTGCTCACCCGCTGTTTCTTCTGTAGAGTATTATTTCCAATAATGAGACCAAAAGAGGGCTTGTGTTTTGCTCCTGATACCAGAGTTTCACTGTATTCCTGGTCTCAACTACCCTGGGAACCAGACCAGAATCTGCTAAGCCCATTTGATTGATCGTTGGCTCTGGCCACCCTTGATTCAAACTGAATTCTTAAACTGATTCTGGGTCTGTTTGGACCAATAACTGTTTATTTAATATGGGGGCAGGTTTTATACAGAGCAGCGTCACATGTTTAGCAGCTCTGATTGGACTTCAGTCTGCAGGTCCGTACAGACCAACACAAACCTCAGATCAAACTGTCAAATATAGTAATAATGGTGGAATGCAACTAAGTACATTTACTCATGAACTTGAGTATTTACATTTATCTGACCGCTTTAGTTACTTTACTTTAGTTACCCCTCCTGTCCAGTGAAACCCACGTATCTCCAGATGTGCTGATTTTGAATGTTTGTGATGAGCTCAGCTTTAAACTACAGCAGCAACACCAGATGTAATATTATAACACTGACAGGGAACTTCATACTTTAAGTAAATCTTTCTGATAATAATTAAATGCAGGACTTTTGCTTGTAGTGGAGTATTTACTCATTATTTCTTCAACAATTAAGTGAGTGTGTGTGTAATCTCTCCGTCTGTCTGTCACCCTCCAGATTACGGCTGCGATGGAGAATACGACGACGGGTTCTAGCAGGGCTCTTCCCTGCTTCATTAATACTGACTTGTGTGGACAATTATGAAACCTTAAGAGTATCAAACGTTTACTACCAGGGACACAAACTGACTGCAGCTACAGATGGGAGCTCTGGTGCCAAGATGAATGATGGATTCCCATCATGAATAAATGGGAGAGGATGTGTTGGAAAAATCCCACTCCTTGTCCCATTTGGCATCCCAACTGGACTGAACTGGGAGGACTCGCTGCTTGGATGCTGACAGACACAGTGAAGTGGAAATGAGGGATATTTATGAGTGTGGTGTGAATAAAACTGCAGAATCAAAGGTAGGGAATATTGCAGTAAGCACTGGTTTGTTGGTTTGCAGGTCAGAAGACATTTAGGATCAAACTGGGCTGAAATAGGTTCCATAAAACAGCTGTTTGATAGTCAGAAAACATCACTTTTAACTAAATTGAGTCCAGTTTTAAGCTGCAAACCACCAAATCAGTCTTCAGGATGATTTTTGCATCCTGAAATGTTTCCACCGTGTTTCTGTCAAGGGTTTTGAAGGTACTGTAGCAAAAAAGAAAAGAAAAGCCGAACAAAATGCTCAACGTATTATCCTTGAACTTGCACTTTGCATTCATGATTCTCAAGTACTTAACAGTATGTGAGTTCCTCGAGTGCTTCCCGATAACTAATATAACACACTGCGTCTCTCAACAGTGACATACTTAAAAACAAGCATCTAACAATCAGGTAGCGTGAGATCAATCGTCATTATCAGTATTTTCCTGTCATTTCTGGTTCAGTTGAGATTGGTCTTTGGATCAATATTCATTAATGCCTTAGGTGGTTAGTGGGCCGACACAAGCCAAAGTATTACAAAGAGGTTGCCTTTGAACAATGTGTGCCAATGTCTGCTGAGATGTTATTAAATCCAAAAATAGTTTAATTTAATTCCAGATTAAGTTCTGATTAGGAATCCGATGGTGTGACTGATGGTTTGATTAGTTTTTATGTTGCTTACACTTTTTCTAATGGAATTGATTCTCTGATTAATTTATGAATTTGTGTCATTTGATTGATGTTAAATATTCTTCATGACGTCCTGTCACAGGCCACAGAGCCGTTTAAAAGCCAGGATGTAAATACATTTTCTGCAATATTATATTTTCCAAGTGATTGAGGGGGCCCAGTTAGCGAAAAGATCTATTTTGTATTTAAGCTTTTATGATTTTTGTGTTGGTTAGGAGGTGAAATAGATTGTGGCCTTTTCACTGTGTTCACACAACGGTATATAGCCAGGCGTCTAAGTTGACCTGGACTGCCTCTGTGTTGCTGCTATGAGTCATGATGTTACGCCTGCATATTGTTGTGTGCATTTGCTGCTACAGTAAACATTTCACTACATGGGGAAAAAGAAGCTTGTTTCCTTTTTTTAAAGAAATAATGTGCACATGAAGTCTGTTATTTTACCCCCATTATGTTATTTTCCATTCTAGTCTATTAGGGGTGTAAAGATTTACAGTAACAAGTTGGGAATCAGTTTTAAAGTTATAGACTACATCGGTACGCAGACCCCTAGATCGATGTCAGTGTATCATGAACCCGTCGACTGAAGCTCTCTCGTAAAAAGGTCAACGGCAGGGTCTCACAACGAGACTAACATTACACACGATTTACAGCACACCATCAAATCTAAAGTTTGGAAGACATTTGGATTCTATAAGAAGGGTTGGACTAAAGTTCTGCGGATGCTAATACAGCTAGCACAAGCAAGAACACTTCCCAGCAACAACTTGGCAAAGTCTTAATTAATCACGGTACATGGACTTTACTTGTATAGCGCCTTTCTAGTCTTCCGACCACTCAAAGCCTTTACACTACATGCCACATTAGCCCTTTCACACTGCGATGGTAAAGCCCATCAAACATAAACTCACTGATTCACATTCACACATCTTGGGGATCAGCATCTTGGTCAAGGATACTTTGACATGCAGCCGGAGGAGCCGGGGGTTTAAACCAACAATGTTCCGATTAGTGGACGACCCGCTCTACCTCTCAGCCACGGCCCCCACGGCTAAAAGTCTTCTTCCTGGTATTTTTTCTAAAATATATAGGTTCTATGTGTTATTTTAAATTCAGAATGGAACATAAATGTCTGCATTAAACAAATGTTAAGAACTGTATCAGACTGCATCGTATCATAGCCCACAACAAACACAAAAATGCAGAAAAATCTCTAATCCATATTTTTACATTTTCAGCTGAATCTGCAGCTTCTCTTTATGGAGCTTTGTTGTGAGTTTCAGTTCATTGTTTCTCTCTGGTCAACAAATGTCCTGTTTTAGTTTACTCTCATAGCATTGTTCTCAGAGAAAAAGCTCTAAAGACCCTCTATACACTCAGATAAACACAGATTGAGAGTAGCTGGTGAACATAGTGGCGCATTTAGCAGTTAAAAGAGCCAGACATTTCCCTCAGGAGTTGGTGGAGAATGGAGTTGTCCAGAATACATTTTTTTGGGCTTCGGGAGTAATCAACAACAACGACAACAGATATTTGACTACTAAAGTGTTGAACTGGAGTACTGACTCCCTAAAGACTGGTAAGACCTGGTACATTTTTGATCTCAGATATCCCAAAACATAATTAACACAGCAGAAAGAAAAATGTTTAAATGTCTGGATATTGTAACTGTCAACATTAAGACCTGAAAGACAGGGACTTGCTAACTGTTTAAGAAGACTTGTGACTTGACTTGGACATGTCTTGACTGATACTAGTCTTGCAACACCAGAAAATTAGAGATCTGAGTGTTTACAGGCACATAGCTTCTACATGCCACGGCCCTAAAGACTTGATTGGTTCTGTTTCTCTATTTGTTTCCACTCATTTTCAGCAACCAAAGCTGGGAGAAAGTCCTCAGTCTCTATTGAGCGAACCATTTAGAGCAGGGTTTTCCCAACGTAAGGTTCAATTTGGCTTGCCAGATGTTTCTTGCTCGAGAAATTAAGAATTAGTTTAAAAAACGTATAAAATAAATCGCTGTTTAGTTTTTTTGTGAGGTATAATGCTCTTTAAATATGGAGAATTCCTTAATTATTTTTCATAATCTGAGCACGGCGGGACAAATTCATTTAACGGTACTTGGGATACTAGTTCAGCATCAGCATCAGCTATAAAATTGTAACCAAATTTTTCCATTTGGTGCCACATACATTTTTATTTAACACTGCACCATTCAGTCTCAGTTTTGGCCCTCAAAGAGAAAAGGTTTGGGCTCCCCTGGTTCAAAGAATAGCTGTGTGAGTTTATACTGCTGCTAATTAAGACTTCACCTTGTCTTTAATGATTAAGGACTGGAGCGTGACTTACTCTTAAGTTATTTGTGACTTGATCAAGACTTGTCTCGACTATTCCCTTTTTTTTTTTTTTTAGACGGACGACAGATAGAACTTGGGGAATGAAGGGCAAAAAAAGCTCCCACCTGGACTAATCAGGTACCTTGTATCAAATGATGCGGACTTACTTTCACTTTTTTGAGATTTGACTTCTCTTTAATAACTTAAGACTTATGATGTTAGGTTTAGGACTGACGTGCTCATTACCTTTGTGTAGAATTGAACTCAGCCTGAACTATTCATGACAGACAAGAGCACCAGGTCTGTTCGCTATCTGACACCATCTACCATCACCAGCGATGCTTTTGATCAGATAAGACGTTTTACTGGTATCGCTGTGGATCATTTAACGCCTGTGCAGTATTGCAGTTTTCTGAAGGTATTGTTGTTTCCAGAGATATTCGGTGTCTGCGGGCGTGTAAAGGGATTCTATAGAAAGATGAGTCACTCTACAGAGTGGGAGGAAATCTGAAACTGAGGAGGCACTTAATGCTGAGCCTTCACACGCAATGATTTTTCTTGTTGGGGCTGTGAGTGTTACCGTCTTTACTGTTTCAGCATCATTCAAAGGATTAAATCTCCTCTTTCTTTAGAATTGCTCTGAAACTTTCACAAAAAGTCCAATTTGTGGAATTTCTATGTGACTAGAATCTGATGGTTCAGTCTGTGCTGCTTTCAGCCTGTTTATGTCAGACCGGTCGATTGGGGGGGTATATACTTACTTAAATTACCAAATAAAGTCAGGGTATTTGTTGTTGCTCTTCGTGACAAAACATATTGACAACTTGGTCAAAGTCAATACCTGCAACCAACGTCTTGGCTTAAATTTAATTAAATTATAACCCGAAACTGAACATAGATTGATCATTTCAATATTTTAACACAGCTATAATAAAGCAATACTGATGTTGGAGCATAAAGTCTTGCAATATAGTCAGTTTAATTTATATAACTAACAATTACATCAAGTTTGCCTTACAATGGCTTTACAATGGACTGGCAAAAGTATTTTCTGCTTCTCTTAAATTTCTCATTAATTACATTAGGTGCAATGTTTTGATGGGTACGATGGTACCAAAGAACTCAGACTCATGTGTCACTGAAGAAACATTCCCACAGAGGTGGCTACAACCAACTAGATAACAACAACATTGTACAACACTGTTTAATGTACTAGAGCTGCACGATGTGGTAAACACATATTGCGATTATTTTGACAGATATTGCAGTATGAGTCACAATAAGTGTGGGAATGAGAATTTTTGAATCGCATATTTAATATTCACTGAAAAAAATGTTAAAATCATGATTATGTGACATTTTGGGCGTCCGTACCAAAAAAACATGTTTCTTTAAATCTGGAGAAGATTTGTAGACCAGGAAATCTCTTCCGAACTTTATTTTGTTACACGTTTTAGCTTTATCAAATAATTGCAGCTTCTGTGATTTGCATATTGCACTTCTTCATTTCGATTTCGATCAATTAACTGTGCAGCCTTACTGTGTACTGTTGGAAATCATCAAAAACCAATCCCAAAACAGCAAATACATTTAAAATGTGTGGTTGTATCCACACCGACAGTATGTGTTGACTATTTCTTCAATAACACACACCCAAATTAGTTGTTTTGAATTTTAGCTTGACACACTGAAGATTTTCTAATGTGATGAAGAAGTGAACGGATATTAGTGTTTGTCCTTCGGAAGATAAACATCTCAAAATAACCTCATGGTCCTTATTGCAGCACTGCTTACGATGCTGGTTCTAGAGAAAGGATCACGTGTATTGTGGCATTTTTTATTTTGATGCGTTACTCTAAGTGTTATGGATGTAACCTCAGACATCAATGTTAATTCTGCTGCTGTCTTAAAGCCTGTTTTCTGTATTTAAATTGGACAGCCAATGGAGACCATGGTATGTTCTGCCGTCCCGCAGCTCCAAAAACATTTATTTGTCTTATTTTGTGTTGAATTGTACAGATGTGAGCAGATGCAATTCAAACTGCTTCAAACTCATTTGCTTTGTTTCGTTCTACTTTGCCAGTGTTGTGTAAGACTGTCGGGTAACTGCATCAGTATTTCAGGAGAGCAGCACTTTTTAAACCCTCTGTCAGTTTCTTTTCCCAGGAAGTTGACATCTCATTTTGGACTCAAGTCTTCACATTTATGCTGCTGCAGTGTGTCTGCTCTGTCACTGTGAGGCTGCTGCATTAAAAAGGATTACCTCAGTCGCTGAAAAACTGCTAAATTTATGGAAAACGATTAATGTCCCCAAATTCCTGTAAAGGTTCTGCAAGTTGAGAGTATTTTTTCCTAGTTGTCAGGTTTTTGATGTCCAGGTCTGCTGCTGAACCTAAGCTGAGTGTAAATCGTGTACACGTCTCGACCCGGGTGCGTGAGCTGAAGATCTGAGATGTTCAAATCAGCTTCTGATTGTGTGAAAACTGTGACACCAAAATGACTTATAACAAAATTAGACATAATTTAATAGTTGAAAGCCTCATGGGGATGAATTTGACGGGATTTAATGATGAACTTCATGTAAAAGATTAATTTTTCGTACAAAAAAATTTAGAACTTTTTGGAAATTAACAAAATTAAATACTAAATGAAGCTGTTGTTGTGTGTGTTTAGGATTTTCTACATAACTGAGAGCAGTAATCCAGTTATATTTGCTGTCGTTTGGAAAGCTGCAAGTTTCTCCATTAAATAAGATTAAACATATTACATTAGCAATACTTTGAAACATCAGGAACGGCTATATTTTACAGCTGACGGGTTAATTTCCAAAAGGCTGAGGTACATATCCGTTTGGAAAAAGATTAGATGAGACCTGATGAAAGTTTAATGACCCGACTGGGGAAATTGGGTAAAATCTTTAAGGACTACCTGCTCCGTGTGTAAATGTGCTGTCATTTGTTTTAAATTCTGTCCAACTGACTTCAACTGTAACCTTCTTCTAAACGATGAAGACCATTTACTAAATACGGAAAACGAACTGCGGCACATCTTTTAATGTTTCCTAACCTTTAACTGCCCTTTGTGAACTTCTGGTCCTGGAAAAGTCAGGCTGTTAAAAAAAGAGAGAGCGAAAGAAATCCCCAGATTCAATTACCATGACCGCGTCATTTGAAGTGCGGCTAAATTAGTCCCATTAACAGATTATTAGACGGCGTGAAAATGTCACGAGTAAGCCTTGAGCTGTCTCAGGGAATTAACGTCCCTTCATACTCGCCAACATCTGAACCCGACTTGAAACGGAACGACGCCTCGGGCCTTTTGGAACAGAGAGATTTGAGAAAACTATTAAGTTACACTCCCTGTGACCCTCTGCGAGTGTCCCCCCTTTTCGGGTTGACTTTTCTCTTAACACGGCCCGGAAAATAATTTCATGGTTTATGATGCTATGTAATTGTGCTGTCAGGTCAGCTTTCTAAGCCCCCCCCCACGCCCCGCTCTCAGTTTTCCACCCACCCCTTCTCGCCTTGCTTGCTCCTCCGTCCCTCAGGGCCGACTGTACCTACGCAGCTTTTCCGTATTCGCCAGCTCACGCTTAGAAGTTTTAGCGAAACTTTAATCTTCCTCCGACACCAAACTTCCACTGTAACCTTTCCAGTGAAGCCTAGGGACGGAGGGAGGAAGGGAATAATAATAATAAAGTTGGCTGTTTGGTTGTGCAGTGTTTGTGACCCCGCCACCCTTCCTCGGTGAGAGAGAGCCGAAAGGATTCCTTCCACCTTTATGCTGGATGATTAAACAGTTTTTTTTTTCCTTTTTCTGTGGCTTCAAGCGGGACTTTAAAGAGAGAAGCAAGTCTTTCTCCTCTTCTTCCTCCTTCCCTCAACTTCCTCTCTCCTCCTCCTGTTTCCTGCTTCCGTCTCTACAAAGAAAGGAGTGCCAGCAGTTCTTTTTCTCCTCAGGTGTTTTTTTTTTTTCTCGTCTCTTCTTTTCTCTTAATCTTCACCTTTATCTCGCTTTGTTTCCCCCTATTTCCCTCTCTTTTCAATTTCCCAGCATCCCTCTCTCCCATCAGCTTTAGTCTTTGGACTTCCTCCTTCTTTTTTCCAATAAGTCAGGCATTTGATCCCTCCTTCCTCTCTTTCCCACCCTCTATAATCCCTCCATCATTTGCTTTCTTATCTTGCCTTTCATATTCTTTTTCTCCTCTTAAATATCCAGTTTTCCTTTTCTTACTCCCGTCTTATTTTCCCTTCACACCCTTTCCGTCCCTCCAACCACCTTCAGCATCCTCCCTTTTATTCTCCTCCTTTCTGACCTCTCCTTGGTTGTTTCTCCATCACATTATCTTTCCTAATATCCCTCTATTCTCAACTCTTCTCCTGATGTCCCATCACTCACTCTCCTCTCCTCCTTGTCCCCCTTCCTCCCTCCATCTCTTTCTCTCCCCCCATATTTTATTTCCTCTCTGACAGCTCCAGTTTAGCCACCATGCTAACTTCTCCCAGGAGGGTGTGTGTGTGTGTGTGTGTGTGTGTGTGTGTGTGTGTGTGTGTGTGTGTGTGTGTGTGTGTGTGTGTGTGTGTGTGTGTGTGTGTGTGTGTGTGTGTGTGTGTGTGGTTTGACTCAAAGGCACCTTTACCGAGTGAGCCCCCCTCACTCAGCCACATATTTACTTCTATACTTGTGAGGACCGATCACTGACACCATGCATTTCCTAGACCTCAACCCGACCTTAACTTAAAACTAATTCTAACCTAACCTCTTAAACCTCAAACCGCCCTTCTTAGAGGTGAGACACCATACACTGTCCTCGCTTCCTAAAACTGAACTTGCATTTCAAAATGTCCTCAAAGGAACGCTTCACTTTGGCCCCTCTCTTCAGACGTCCTTTCTTAAATAAATACGTCCTTTCTTAAATAATATATAAATATATTATTAATAAATATAAAATAAATATGTTCTTGCCTCTTAACAATGTCCCCAATGTTCAGAAAAGTCATTGCTTCCTATAAATGTCCTCACTCCAAAGAACAAAACAGTCGAGACTTGACTTTTTCCTCCCCTCGCTTTTTGAATGCTAACTATCCAAAATGGCCTTACTTTTCAAAAATGTCCCCACTTTCTGAAACGATCCTTTTTTAACAATGTCCCTAATTTTCTACAATGTCTGAAAAACGATCTCCAAATTGTCCAGTTTCAAAAACTTTCTTAAAAAAACATTCTCATATTCTCACTTTTTAGATGTTTCTTTCCTGAAAATATCCTCACTTTCCAAAACTGTTGTTGCTATTCAAAAATGTCCTCACTTACAATAAATGTCGTTCTTTTCAAAACGGTACAGGCAAAAACTGTCCAAATATATGTCCCAAGTTTTCAAAAATATCCTCACTTTTCCAGAAATAATGTTGCTTTTCAAACGTTATTCTCTCCTGAAAAAGTCCTCACTTCCAAAAACTGACTGAACCTTCTATAGAATTTACTCACTGTCTAAAAATACCTTTACTTTATAAAAGTGTCTTCACTTTTTCAAATTGTCTGCACTTCCAATACATGTCCTTCCTTCCTGAAAATGTCCGCCCTCTCAAGGTCTAAAATGAAAATTGGTCCTCACAAAGACAGAAGTACAGGAACAAAACACACACACACACACACACACACACACGTTTGTGTTCCCAGGCCCGGACCAGGCTGCCTCGTTTCTTGCCAGAGCCATTTTCCTAATAATCCCATCACGCCTGCCCTCAAACTCTCCTCCCCCCCCACTCCCCCTCTTCCTTCTCCGCACTGCGTTTTCCTGCATCAGCATATCAAACTCACCCCGCCCCGATCCGCATCTCTCCCCAAACACCACAACCTCCCCCCCCTCCCGGTTGCCTTCCTCACCCCAATTATTTCCCGGGACCTTAGCTTAGAGGGATTCTTTCACCCCCGCGCTCTATTTTGTAGTCGGGCTCCTCGCTAACCTCCCCTCCACTGCAGGCGACGGCATCCATTGTGTAATAAATACGTGGAGGTATTCATGTTGCCCTCGGTGACAGATTTCTCTGCCGTCATCAGGATGAATGCCCCTGACAGGTAGCTTAAGGGGGGGTGTTGAGGTATTCCTACACTGGATGTACAGAGACGGTAACAATGGTCCAGTGGGAGCTTCTGAAGGACGGAACAGCTATCAGGTTTATAAGTGGAAGAGACTTGTTTTAGAGCAAAACTTTTCTCATTATTTCCCATCCGACTGACCTTTTTTTTGTCTTTTTGATAATGTAGAGGTTCAGTCTGCATCCTCTCCGAACTAGCTTCCCTCCCCGATTTGACCCTCTGTCACAGCTAATCAAGCATTTCCCTCCCGGAGCTTTTAAACATAAACGGTCTGTAAATATTGCACTTTGGTAATGATCGACAAGCACTTAGTTGTTAGTTTGAGGCCTCTATTCAGAATACGTCCACACTCAGCTGACAGAATTTTAAAACATATTTTTTCTCCTTATTTCCGCCCTGCATACTTACAAATCCAGTATTTTTCTTTTTTGAAAATGGAGCTCTTTGAAATTACCTCCAGAGTGAATAAGTCTAAAAATGGTGCCACAGCATTTAGTGTGGACGGTGAAAACTGAGCTTTCGACAATCGCTGATGTAAGTCCGATTGAGGGTGTACTGATACTGCCGATCACAAAGCAAAGCTGTTGTCATTAAGATATCCTTATCTTTATTTGGTCAGGCAACAGTTCTAACAGAGATTTTAGTGATGTTTCAGTGAATGACTGGTTTCCTGAATAATATGTCGCATTTATCAACGTGATGTCATGGGATGGCGTATAAATACACGCCATGTTTAAGTACGTATGTGTACACATTGGAACTGTGTTGCTTGAACTACACTGCAGAGCACCTTGAATCTACCTCTGTGTATAAAACGGGCTTTCTTGCCTTTTAAGTGTTTTCGCGTGTCATTTAATGCCGTTAAGAGATGTCGCATTTTATCAGTTTTGGACGAGCAGGAAAGGACGAAGTCAAGTGACATTTGTTGTCATGGTAACAATTGTCAAGTGACATTGTGAAACGGTCGTAGTTTGGGTTAAAATAAGTATGTTTTCACTTTTGTTGACTTTTGTTTTCACATGTTTGTTTGAGCCAACGCCTCAATGCTGACTACATTCAAATCCAAGCTAAAGATCTGTTAACCATTGCTTTTAATTCATCTTTAATTAATAAAATGTATTAGCTGGTTTGTTTTTTGGTTTTTATTCAGGGTGTTTTTGCTTGTTTACTGTTACAGTTTTTACTCTGCTGGGTTTATTTTCTGATTTTATTGTTTTTATCATTTGTTTATTGGTTTGTTTGTGCTTTTGCTCATCAACTCTGTAAAGCACTTTGCATTGAGACATTTTTTTCTCTGTGACATTTATGGATAAAATTACACAGCATCTCTGCACAACTGAAGTCAAAATGTACAAATGGAGTGAAATTACTAAAGCAAAAAGGCTTTCTGATTACTCGCGTGTTATTCAAACGCCATTTGGTGTTACTTGGCTGCATGTATGGGCCACTATCGTATCCTTATTTAATCATTAGTTATTTCATAATTAGCTAATGCCTAGAGAGTTTGTTTATATGTTTCAAATAATTACCTCAATAAAAATACCTCATTTAGGCCTAATTTCCTTCAAGTAAACCCTCTTATAATGCTGTAATTCTCGCAAAATAGCTTGGTTTCATAATACTCAGATATGATCTTTTGTCATGGGTGATGGACTGCATCTATCTTATTTAACTGTGTTTTATTGGTCTACTTCAGATATAATGGGTTATGAAATCTCATTTGTGGAAAGTCAAAGTCAAGGCAGGTTTTATATATAAACTGTAAATTGCAGGTCTAGATAGGAAGTCTTTCAAGCCCCTGAATACTAAACATTAAAATAATGTGACATTTCTGGTGGATTCATAAAGCTGTTTTTAAAGTGTTGCAGAGGTCCGCAAGGCCAGTCAGGGTCACTGGGTTTTAATGGAGGTTTGTTTGAATCAGGAGTCCAAGGCAGTATTTGAATGTCTCCTTCTATCCATGAAGTATTTTTTTCTAATCTGCACTCTTTGGATTAAACTTTCATCCAACAACCTAGACGTTTCAGCTTTTACTGAGAGCGACAGTGAGTTACTGCTGCTCAGAAGAGCACTTTGGAAAGTTACAGTTTGCTAATTCTGTGTGACAATATGTCAGTTTGGCAGTTGTATCTGAGCGAGAATAGGCCACCACCACCGCAGCACTTACAAAAAATAGAGGCATAATGTGGAACTGGCCCTGGCCACTGCTGACAACGTTTGCATCTTCTCAGAAATGTAGCTGGGAAAATGCCACCGCGTGACACTGAAAAACCCTCGTCTCCTCACAACCCGAGTGCTACAGAGAGAGAGAGCTGAACCAAATCAGCCTGAACGCCGTAGAAAATGAAGAAATTAGTCTTGGCTGTGGAGCCGTCCAGCCTCTTGGCTCCACAGCCGAGCTAAATCCGCCGCCGCGGAGCGCCGAGCTCCTGTCGTCCCCCGGTTCACAAACATAAATCCTGGACGTTTTTTGGCTCAGTGTGTGACTCAGTAAACACGCGGAGGAGGATAGGGAGGATCCAAATTGTTTCTCTGCGGCCACAGATGAGTTTGGTGCTCGGCTCGGAGCTCTGTCTATGATGTATGGTCCCATCTCTGTAATTGAATTCATTAAGGAATAACTGAACCCCCATCTGTGGAGACAACTCCCATGACAGCAATCTCTCTCTCACACACACACACACACACACACACACACACACACACACACACACACACACACGTCTGTATATGCAAATGTGTTCATGTGTCAGCTATACATAAGCGTTGATCTTTCCCACAACTTGGCTCCGACACACACAAGTGGGCTAACACATGTATGTGCATGACTCAAACACAGTCAGAGTCGTGTCTAACCGGTCCAAACATATTTCAAAGCGCAAGAGTGAGCCAAGACGAGAACAGCATGCAGCAAAGTCAGTGAATCTTGGGATTCAATTTGTGCACCCAGTAAACATTGATTTGGTGCTTTTCAGGCAAAAAGATGTCTAGACATCAAGTTAAAACTGGACTAAATTGGGTTTAAAGTTTTCTTAGATATCTAGGTTACTTTTAACTGGTGTTTCAACAGCCTTAATTGAATATATTTTAATGTGCAGCAGGTCCCAAATACAAGTTTACACAACAGTAACATGTAACCACCTAAATCAGCCCTTATTAGTCGCCCTCATCCAGCACTATAATGCAGATATTAACATATTGATCTACTTTGCTATGTGGGGGAACATTTGAGGCATTGAGTGCTCATCAAGTTTGTTACTGGAAGAATATTAAAACTCACCGAAGGGAGGGGAGAACTTTGCAGCAACCTGTCGGGAGGAAATATCAGCAGAGTGTAAAGTAACGAAGAAACCCAGACTTACTTCAATACAGTGCAAGTTATTTCTGTTCAAGGCAAATCCATTTAAAAACATAATTTCTGACCCAAAGGATCTGGGATATCTATGAGCTGGAGCAGATAACCTACTGCCTAAGGTTACAAAAGAATAAATAATAATTAAGTCCTATAATATGCTCAACTTGGGTAGCCCTCTAACCCCTATAGATATACGGATGTTCAGTTATTTTATTTATGAATTGCACTGAGAATAAAAATTAGGTTCTAAAAAACATTATTTCTTCCTTACTTATTAGGTGATTTCATTCTAAATTTTTGTTAAATCAGGAAATATCTGATCAAATAAGGAGTAAACATTCAAACTATAGACACAGACACATTCCAGTTGAAACCACTGAGTATCAGCCTTGTTGATCAGGGCTAATATTAGTGTAGTATCAGCCAAATATCTGTCACAATCATCATGTCTCTGGTATCAAAAAGCTCAATCTATAACCCAAAGTTTGCTATCCAAAGTAGTTTGTTTCAATTCAAAGAAAAAGTGAAACACTGATGCGCACTATTTCAGCATCTTCTGCAGCGTAAACAAGCCTACACAAGTCTCACATTTTAACCACCTCACGTTTTAATGGCTCTCTTTGTCATCTGGAATGTAAAAACAAAAAATAAAAATGTTGTCCGGTCTGCTCATAGTTCAGCTAAAAAATTCCAGCGCACCATGGAGCGTCTCTCCTGCCGGGCTGCTGACAGTGCTGTCAGCTAAAGAGTCAATCACAGTGGACAGCAGTGGAGGAGGATGTACCACCATGTGGTTTAAAAGTGGTTTAGATTCAGATACAGTGTGTTGTACAAGCAAATGACAGAGCTGAATCCGGATTGTATCTGTATATGACAAACTGAGTATGAATGCATTCAGGAATAACAGGACCTCACATGCACAGAGCAGCGGGACATTGAAACATGTGACAGGCAGCAGATTTACGGTGAGACCCTGATGGGAAACACAGAACAGCATGACGCAAGTTGCCTGTTGTGTACATTTATAGACTCTGTGTGTGTGTGTGTGTGACTGTGTGTGACTGTGTGTGTGTGTGTGTGTGTGTTTGAGTGAGGTGTCTCTGTGGTGTTGCTTTGTAGCAGGTGTGTCTTCATCTGCACTGGTGCATTTTCCCTCTTTTGTGGTGCCTCATAAGAGAGGTGTGTGTGTGCGTGTGTGTGTGTGTGTGTGTGTGTGTGTGCGTGCCCCCCTCTGTTGTTTTGTTCCATTGCAGCCCTGTAATTACCTTGAGTCAGATCTGCTTCTGTAACACAGGTGGGAGACACAGAATTTAATTACAGGGTGGGAACTGCGCTCAAGCCCACCTGCAAGTGTGTGTGTACACTTTTGTGTGTATTTTTGTCTACATATGTTTGTATGTGTGTCTTTTGCACAAACTGTATGCTTACATACATTTTCTTATTGCAGTTATTTAAGTGTCTCCAGTTTGGACGGATTAACATGTATTCAGGTGTGTGTGTGTGTGTGTGTGTGTGAGTGAGTGAGTGAGTGAGAGAGAGAGAGAGAGAGAGAGAGAGAGAGAGAGAGACAATGATAGGGGGTGGACGAGTGAGATTGAAAGAGACAGAGGAAGACAAAGGGAGGGAGAGAGGGTCTGACTGCAGAGCAGGTTGAACACCTGGCGCCTGATCTGAGGCAACATGATGGAGATTAAAAAGACCATGAGGGGGATTCTTCTCTTCTCTTCTTCTCTTCTTCTTTTCTGTTAGTTGGTGATCAGACAGCAGCTTTGTTCTTCTGCTCCACCACAACTCTCAGCTGTGAGGGTCAGTCCGACACCTCAGAGGGCTCAAGGTGTGCTTCATCATCCCTGTTGCTAAGCAACCCAAAGTTTGGCAACAACTTGGGATCTCTCTAATTAGCTCGCGAGGGCTTAGGGATTTGCTCTCCAGACAGATATTGGACGGGTTTATCAGTCGTGGTTGCTGCAACAAGACGTCAACATCAAAGCAGCACCTGCTCCACCTGCTCCAGGTGTTTCGCTGCGGATTGGTGACCTGTTGCCAGACGATGATGCAATATGATGCAGCAGAAGTTCGACTCAGCTGTTTCGGCACGCTGTGTTGCGTTGTTGACTGAGGTTGCTATGAGACAAACCCTCCGGCATTACGATAAACAAGGATAATTGGCTCATACATGGGAGCCAGTGTGTGATGTTCTCATACAGCAGACTGTTTGTGTGAAAGCCGCCTCAGTGATCTGCAAGTGCCAAAAATCAGTACTGATGGGAAAAAAGTGAGATTCACTGTCATTTCAAGATGCAGCCACAGTTAATGTTATTCATTAGCAAAGAAATCTTCGTCTGCAAGGACAGACACAGAATGTCCTGCCTGGCTACCGAGCTGTTAGAAGTTACTTTAAAAAAGAAACTGAAGGCACATTTGAAAAGACAGAACGGCCTTGGACAAATACCTGAGCTTTTATAATGGAGATACATTCACATTAAATCCAACAAAAGTTAAGAGAAGCTGGTATTATGGAGCCAAACACTCTAAAAAATGGTTTTGGCTCACATATAAAGAATGACTAACTTTTGTCATTCTTCACACAACTACTTCTGACACTTTAAATGCTTCCTGGGCCAGTGTGTGTCACATGATGAACCTGGAACCATATGCATATGCTTCTCCACTGCGGGGCCCATAAAGCGAGGGCGCTAGCGTGACTTCTGCCCATCAAGTGCAACCGAGACGCTTACTTCAGGTTTAACACAGCGCTGCAAAATAATGGC